ATTTTTTTTTTTTGAGCAGCAAATCAGAATATTAGAATGATTTCTGAAGGATCATGTGACTGGGGTAATGATGCTAAAAATTCAGCTTTGAAATCGCAGGAATAAATTACATTTGAAAATATATTCAAACAGAAAACAATAATTTTAAATATTACAAATATTTCACAATATTACTGCTTTTTCTGTATTTTGGATCAAATAAATAAAGCCAACTTATAGCGGAACTCTCTACCAAGTGAGAGGGTTCTCTGTATAGTTTACAGTATTAGAAGAAAGAAAAATAGACATGGATCTGAAGTATTTTCAAAAGAATTGATATCAAATCAAGACTATATCTGCTCCAAGTGAAAGAAAACATTTTGGGCCAGATTCACTAAATAAGGTAAATTCAATTCAAGTTTATTTGTATAGCGCTTTTCAAGATACAAATCGTTGCAAAGCAGCTTTACAGAAAATTAAGTTTCTACAATATATTTAGTAGTAGCTTATCAGTGGTGACTGTCAGTTCATGTACATAAGGCAGAAATATACTGAAAAATCAATTAAAGACATAATCAAACAGATGATGAACACTATTAACAGCAATTCCCAAAAATTAAATCCCATAGAAGTGAGGAAGGTAGCATTGTCAAAATCACCAGTACTTTGGAACTTAAACTCAACTTGGGTATCCAGTATCGTATACTTTTGGTGGCATCAGTAGATGATGGTAGTGGAAAGTTCTGCATGTTATCTACTGGCATTGCACAATTAAAGAACATAATCACAGCCAGATAATTTCCTTAAGGACCAACGCAACCTTCCAAAAGCAGTGCCAATTAGCATCTATCACAGCTATGTCAAGCACAAATTGGGTTAAGACATACTTTTTTGGCCTTTAAATAATGGCGCAAATACCAGTAAACTGACTACCGCAAACCTTAGTAAATAGCTAACACTGCATGATTTAAATACTCTCCTCCAAAATATTTTACATCTCAAAGGGAAACTCCTACAAACGAATAAGCAATTGCTAATTTTTCCTAACAGTACTATTTTAAAGGGGTATGTGGTGGCGCAAGCTGTTACTGTTATGGCGCTTTTCCACTGCGTGGTACGACCCGGCTCGGCACGGTTTGCGTTTCCACTGCAGTTTAGTATCACTTTAGAGTGGGCGGGATTATTCACATGTCGTTAGTTGCGCCACCTCTACTGCCGCGACTTCTGAAAATTTTTTTCATTCCGCGTCGCTCCATCAAGCTCTCGCTGGATCCGCTCCTCTGCTATCAACGAGAGGAACGTCTGTACTTCCTCAACAGACAACGAAACAGCCACTTTTTCAGCCACTCTTTCACACGCAAGTTCAGTGACGCAGGTAGTGACGATTCTCTCCGGCCAATCCTTTATCAGCAGAGTTTACACGTCACATTTTGGTAACAGTACGGTTCACTTGGAACCTCAACCGAGGTGGTACTAAAAAAGTACCAGGTTCCGTCCCCAGTCGAAAACCCCCCAAAAGTGAACCGTACCGAGCCGTACCATGCAGTGGAAAAGTGCCATTAGTAAATCTGGCCCAAGTCTTTGTTCAAGAGTCTTCATCTCAAGTAAGTACCACTTTAAACATTTCTCTGAAGTGCTACTCATTTTCTTTGACATTTTAATTTAAAATGACTAAATATAACTTTAAGCTAGTGAAGGAGAAAGAAAAAATATTTAAAATGAACTGTAATTTAAATAATTAAATGGTTAAAACAACAACAGGAAAAAGACAGGAGATGTTTTGAAAGTTAAAGATAAAAATAATTTAATACTATTACCTTTTGCGTTTCCAGCGGGAGGGTTTGAGACCAACACCTCCCCATTCTCCCCAGCCTGGCAGTGTCAGGTCCACCACTTTGGGCTTCCCAGCAGCTTCCTGTTTCCTTTTGTCCTTTATGAAATCAGAAATTACATCATCCCCAGCAAAGGCCTCCTTGATGATGGAGATCTGTTCACCATGATCCTAAGAAAAAAGGGAAAACATTTTAAATACAGGAAAACGCAGCACACAATGTTACTTCTCACAAATCACTCATAACTAAATGTTAAAGTTAACTTAGACCGACCTTAGCGAGGGTTAAATCTGATTCTGTTCAGTGTTCACAATCTTATAGGTCCAATTTCACAACCCATGTTGTCCAATTTGTTTGTTTTTTTTTGTCCACGAGAACACACTATATACATCTATATCTGACAGTCTTGCTTTCATTTCTGTAAAATTAACATGGGCTGCATCCGAAATCTCAAACTCTTCATATAACAGTAGATGAAAAAAAGCATCCGAATGACTTTATACCTCTGGCAACATTCTTAATGCCCATCCACTTTACTATCCTATGAGGCCACAGGAGAGGATTTGTGAATGGCAGTGAAGCAACACAACTAATGCTGGAAGGTCATATGACAATAACAAGGCGAATGTAATAAGTCTGGATTACATTCATTCAGTCATACTATAATATAAAACATGAAATAATTACTCATTCAAAAGAAGTACATACTTAGAGTATGCAATTTTAGATGCAGCCATGGCGCTTACCCTGACTAAGGTCTATTGTATATACTTCATTTAAAATTCAACTCACTTCCTCTTCAACCACTGTTGGCAAAAAGGGAACTTTGACGACTTTGGCATCTTTGGTGAGTACTTTTTTGAGGTCGATTTCACTTTTCTTTTTGTTAGGTGGCTCAGAAGTGGCCTCCCCAACAGCTGTCTGTGGCAGTCACGGAGCCACAATGGGTTGGGGGTCGACATCCTCGTCCAAAATCTCCAGGTCCTCTATATTCCTGACTCGAATCTGTCCTTCATTCAAAAGTCCCTCTTCATCTTCTCGTTCGGGTGTGTTCAACCCTTGTGGTGTCTGATTTGTACCCTCAAGTGTCTTCTCATTCCTCATAAGCCTGAAAAGGGTGTTAAACTCAGAAACGTCCTCCTCTTCTTCATCCTCCTCCTCCTCCTCCTCCTCTTTGTCAGATACCTCAACCACATCTTCTTCAACTACCTCGCTTTCAGGTTCTGTTAAAGGAATAGTTAGTTTGGATGAAAATCACCACATACACTTTATTATGATGTTTAAGTCCAGTAAATTACCTGAAATGTTAAGCGGTAAAATATCTTGTTTGTATTATGTTCCTAAATAAAATAAAATAATAGATTACTTTTAGTATACAATGGTACGGTGTTTCTGTCATAAATCCTTCAAGTTAAACTGAACTTTTATTTTTGGAGTTTCAGTGTGCATTTGATGGTAGTTTTTCTCAAATTAAACGGTGTAAAGCTGGTGAAGTGACTCTCCAAGCAGCTCCGGAGATGAAGCTCATGTGCTCATGGCCTCATTTATTGAGACCGCAGATGCTGAAAACACTGCGAGTGTCACATGTGTGAGTTCGTGTGTAATAGACGAAACCACACCACTCATTCACACAGAGAACATGCAGACTTATTAGCGACATGCATTGACTGACTGTTGTCACGTCTATTTCTGTTGTGTGATAGACTGATTAATCCATATCAAGTAAAAATGTCCAGAGCTTATCATTAGATAGAAATTTTATCGCAATCTCGATATATCATTTATCACCCAGCCCTAGTTTGTACATTATAGAAAACCCTTCCTTTTGTGTTCCATGGCGAAAAGTAAATCACCTAATCACCATTCTAACTTTTGTGCAAGTATTTTCTTTAAACCTGCTCTCTTACTCTGTTCTTCTGTAGGAATCAAGTCCTCTTCATCAGCTTGCCTCAGCTTCCTCTTCCTCTCAAATTCTCCAATTAGTTCCTCCTCCTCATTCTCCTGTTCTGCTGTTTGAGGTTCATCAGTTGTGACACAGCTGACCTCAGGTTCTTCATGTGTAAGTTGGACTCTCATCCAGGGATTGACAGGGTCAATGATTGGCTCAGGGTCGTTCACAAAGTCAGGTACCGTCTCCAGTCCTTCCTCATTACTTTCATGTTCGTCATCAGAAGGCACCACAATCTTCTGGGTAAGATCTTTATTCATCTGCAACTGCTCCTGCATTGCTTTGCGTGCCTGAAGAGCATGGGAGATATCCAAATGTCAATATTGTGTTACAGTAATTGATGACAAAGTGTCAGTGTCATTCTGCTTTAAAGAACATTAGGATGGAAAAAAAATCAACCACTCTCACCGAATCATCATATTTTGCCATTATGGCTTTTGATTTTGCCCACTTGCCACTGTTCTGATGCTTCAGAGACATTCTCTCCTGTAGTGAAAACAAAGAAAAATATATTTAAGCCCAAATAATTCTCAATTATTCATAATCTTTGTTTCCATTGTATGTCTTTCAGTATTTGCTCCCTCAATGCATCAGTACCTCCATCCTGGACAGTTCCATCTTTTTTAGCTCTTCCAGAGCTCCTTCAGGATTCGTCTTTACCATTTCCTCAAACTGCTTCAGAAACTCTTTACGCTTGCCTTTCTTCTGAATCTTGTGATACCTGAGAAAAAATATATACTGTGCAGCTGTATATTTTGTACAGTACTACTGAAAAGAAAGACTAACAGTATGTTGTTCACAGAAATGTTCAGTTGTAGAACTCACTTTTTACTCTTGATATTCTTTTCTCTTTTGGCTTTTGCCTCATAGTATGATTGAAGCGCTCTTGTCTTTTGAAGCTCAGCACGGCGAATCTTAGCCTGCCATGCAAAACAAATTGTTACAAGGTGGAATACAAAAAATATTGATTAATAATGAGTAGGACTGATGGCAAAAATAGAACAAATAACATGCTGCTTGGTGACCAATCATAAGCATTCATTTGGAACCATATATCTATATCAGTATCCATCTATCTATCTATCTATCTATCTATCCTGTATATATGCTACAGTAGAAATGTGTCAATTGCTAGATTTTGACAGAATTCAGTTCCTTAACACCTTGATTAGTTGGTTCATGTGTGTTTGATTCAGGCTGGAGCTAAACACTCCCTGATGGCAGCCCTACAGGTGCTCAAGTTGCTTGTTTAAATGCACTTTTATGTTTATGCACCCTGTGATGTTCTGCTCCCTGACTGAAAATGATACATAAAGCATTTTTAGCAACAGTAGTAGAAGTAATATGAGTAACTCATTTGGTGTCATGTGATGTTAACAGAGATCGGTAGGTCCATTAGTAAAATCTGATTAATTTAGCAATCTTTTTTGCATTATGTGCCAATAGTGACCATTCAAAAATGGGGAAAAAGCACTTTTCAAGATTTTTTTCTCCAAAGTTTGCATGCCTGTGACTAAGTATTAAATATATCTAAATGCCTTTTTAGATTTTTGCTTGTAACAAACTTTTCTTTTGGCATCTTCATCTTTTAGGCCCTATATAGTTCAAGCCCAGAGATATTGCAATTTCAGTATGGCTCCAGGAGCAATTGTTATATTGTACACATTTCAGTGGTCAAATACCAAATGTGGGTCACTTTGCATAAAGAAGAGACATCTTTTCTTTTAAAGAGGAATATCTGAGGAACAAATGTTGAAACTAGAAATCTCGTATCTCATTTCCTTCTGTCAAAACAATTGCATTGAACATACCTGTCTGAGTGCCATAAATTTATTATTTTTATATTTTGTATTTATTATTATATTTATTTATAAATATTATAAGTTTGCATGCATGTAACTCAACAAAAAATGAAGATATTTCAATATGATTTTAGATTCTAGTTCTTAATAAACTTTTCTTTTGGAAATAATCATTTTAGGGCCCTGTATGGTTTAATCCCAGAGATATCAGGATCTCAATGTGGTTCCATGTTCAAATAGTTGAATCCTACCCATTTTCAAAAGTCGAAAACACAAAATTAGATTTGGCTTATCTAGTCATGACTGTTGACACTGCAAACATGCAAATAATAACAGTAATCCAGGGTTTAGGAATGTACAGTGTGACACGCCAGATTATGAACAACCAGGATTAATCATTAAATCTGGGTAAAGTATGAACAGTGTTAAAGGGATAGTTCACCCAAAAATGAAAATTCTGTCATTAATTACTCACCCTCATGTCGTTCCAAACCCGTAAGACCTTCGTTCATCTTCAGAACACAAATTAAGATATTTTTGATGAAATGTGAGAGCTCTCAGACCCTGCATAGACAGCAACGCAACTGTAATGTTCCCAGGTCCAGAGACGTAGTAAGGACATCGGTAAAAGAGTCCATGTGACATCAGTGGCTCAACTTCAATTTTGCAAAACTACGAGAATACTTTGTATGCAAAGAAAACAAAAAAAGTGGGGAAAGCAACCTCTTTTCCCTACAAGGTGTGGAATTTGTTTCAAACATGTTACAGACATGTTATATCTAAAGTCTTGGTAGCTTCAGAAGTTGTTAAAATGAACAGAATCCCTTCTTCCAAATATCCCTGAAACTGATTGAAATATAGAATCTTATAAATAGAATACATAAAGCAAGTTAATGTGCCTCAACTTGACCATTTTTAGCACTCAGACAGATATGTACCACTCCCATGTAACTGTTTTGATAGAGAATCTTTAATTTCAATAACATTTATTCTTCAGAGATTAAATAAAAATTTAATCTAATAATTTTTAATTAAGTTAAAAATGTAAATAAAATAAGTATTATATACAAAGTGACCAACATTTAGTTTTCGACCACTGAAAAGGGTAACATTTAATAATCTGAAATTCCAATATCTCTGGAACTGAACCATATAGAGCCTTAAAAATGAAGATGCCAAAAGGAAAGTTTGTTAAAACCCCAAATCTAAAATTGCTTTTTCTCCATTTTTGAATGTTCATCATTGGTATATAACGCAAAAAAAATTTCTTGAAAAAAAAAGACAACAAATTTTACTAATAGACCTACTAATCTCTGTGTAAAAATAACAATGAGGCCGCCATCTTTCTGAAGTCATTTTTACCCCCCTGTAATTTGGCTCCGAATCTCAGGTGAAAATTGTCACTTTGACCCCCCTCTACAAAATAGTGAATTGCTCAGTAAATATATATCTGTAACACTGAATATTTTGTCTTTAATTGAGCCGTTGACCTCTGGTTGACACGGAATGACCCAGGTGTTTTCTATACTGCTCCAACATTACAGCAGAATCCTTATCGCATTATACATTTCAACCGTTTCACTGTATACACCTTGTCATAATGCCAGGCCTAGGCCTACCTATACTAGAAGCAGTAATAACTTGATTTGAATGGCTATAAAACATCTATGGCAATAGAACAGAAGCTTTATCAAAGTCATACCTCCTCCAAGCTCATGGCTTTAAGTGATGCCTCCTCTACAGGAGTCAAAACAGGGTCATTGACTGGATGGCTGTTGCTGTGCAAGAGTCTGAAAATCTCTTGTTCAAGAGGAGTTTGAGCCTGTCAAAGAATTTGCGCATGGAGTTAGTATTAAAATAAAAGCAAGTGCTTCTACCAAACATGTGTTTTAGTTACAATTGGTCAGCATGCAAAGAAACAATTACATTAAAGTAACATTTCCAACTCAAGATCAGAAACAGTCATTTTGTGTATGTGTGTGTGCTTGCATACATGTTGTGAGGACAAAATTGTGTAGAATTCCAGTAAATAGTAATTCTCTCATTACTGAGCCTTTGTACAATTAGAGGAAAAGAAACCACAAAGAAAGGTAACAATGATTTAGACAAAACTACAATACAAAAAAAACGAAACAAAATATGAGCACACTCACTGTAACATCAGTGTTAGCAATTAGACTGCTTGAAGGCAAAGCGAATTAGTGAATTGTAATACTGTACACTCAATTCAATTCAATTCAAAGTTAAGACAATTTTACAAAGAACAATGTAGTAAAAACACACCAATGAACAAGCAAATGTGAAAGAATTATGCTCCTCCTCATAAACCTGCATATAAAACTGAAACAGGAATAAATTTCATATAGCCTAAATAATATTTTGGTAAAATTCGTCATTTACAAATACTTTTTACATGTCAACCATAGTTGTGTTTAAAAAAAGCGGTTTAATGATGTAAAAATGAACTGAAGATGGCTATAGATAATTTTAGAGGGGTTTCTAAAATGGTTATGATGAATATTAAGGATAAAATATATATTGAAGAGAGTGAATGACCTAACTTATCTTTGTGTAACTATCTAATTCTATAAACTATATGCAAAACCTGCAATCCCGCAACAAAATTCAGGCCCTAGAGAGTAAATAAATCGTAGATACTAGTAATGATTTCTGACTAGCGTTTTGAGGCAAGATTGAATTAGATTGAATGTCTTTTTTTGAAAGTGTGTGTGCTGTTCCTATTTGCAACATATAGCTTCTTACAGGCAAAAAGTGAGGTAAAGGGGCTTTGGTAAAGGAATAGTGCACCCCTAATAGCAATGTATGCATTTAAACCAAACCGAACCATGACAGATTTGAGCCATTCCAAAAAAATAAAATATAAATAAATAATAAAAATCCACACCTTCCATCCAGCCACAACCTGCTCCACCTGTTTAGGTCCTAAGGACTCCTGGTTCAGAGGAAACACTATTTGTTCAGCCTTCTGGTTCTGCACTATGATGTTCTGCCAGCAAGACACCTCTTTAGTGGTCTTCTCATACGCTATGCCTCTCTGAATCTGTGGACATAATAGAGAGAAAAACTTCATCAAAATAAAGACGCCAAGAATACCACGGCTGAATTTAGAATAGTGGGTCCAGATTTAATAGTTGTTGTTTTTTTTTAACAACTACACGTTTGTGCCCGTATGTTGAGAAGTAAGCCTATGGCAAAACTTCTATGACAAATTTATGTAAAAGGTTGAAATCACAAAGCCTACACTACTTGTACATTTTAGCAACAGACTTGAAATTTGTTTGCTTTTTAACACCATGCCAGGATCTATAGCTATAATCATTCATGAGTAATCAGGTTAAAATAAAGTAAAACCAGTAAAATGTTTAAGATCCATATTTAGTAAAAACTAAACTGAATATTGTCTGACTCTGCAAAAATCCTCATATGTGTCAGCAGAAAAAAACCTTTTTAGAAGACAAAAAAAAAAAAAATCACATTAAAATTGTGCGAGCAACATAACTTGGCACAAGAGTAAATTATTTTTCTCCAAGTGACTATTAAAATGAAATGTCACTGATCCCATTCTGATTGCTACCTGCTTCAGACATGAAATTTATGTTTATATGGACTGCATTTTTTAAATTATATCCCTGATGCCATTAATTGCTACTAATTTAAAAGCACAGGTTTTGGAACAAGTGACAAGCCTCTCAGTTTATCATAGAGTAACTGAACTAAAAATGTATCATTTCACCTTTTCTGTTTGCTGTTTGTTGAGCGGTAACGCCAAAGTCCCTTTACTGTTTTGCAGGTTCCTCAGCTGTTTCTTGGTCTTGTTGGCGGCTCCTGAGGTCTTCTCCACAGTTCCCAGGAGGTCAGAAATGTTGACTTTCTCTCCTGTACCTTTAAACAGAATTAAGAAAACTTACTACTGATGTTCTATTTCAGTCAAAAATATAATGTGAATAAATTTAGCATTTACCCTCTGCATTGACAAAGAACTCGGAGACCTGCACACTTGCTTCAGAGCGCTCACTCTGCTTTTTCCTTGGATAAACAAGCATCAATTGGTCAAAAAGTTGTTTTGGACATTTTAGGAACTTTTTTTTCTGCCTCTGCTAAAAACAGATTTATTCCAAAAGGGCCTTTCTTTAGAGTACCAGATGTAAATATATCAAATTTTACTGTGGGTTATTTAACTTGTACCATGGTCACTTGCCTGCATGGACAACTTATAGCGGTCATTGGTGTTTGCAGTGCAAAATTTGACTGGACAAATAAAAAGCAATGGTTAATTTTCATTAGTTAATTTATCTACATGTAGTTAGATCTAAAATACTTCATATAAAATAAAATAGTATGGTAAATAAAGTTACATTTATTGGAATTTATTTAAAGGAATGAGAGAGGGATTGCGTGTGAATTTCCTGCATCTGTCTCAGGCCACTGTTGACAAGTTTCTACATTACTAAATTTGTCTTTTTGTGTGCAATCATCTCAGCGTGTGTGAATGCTTCAACAAAGAGAGCACATTAAATTAGAACAGCGCTTAAACTGACTGGACTTACCTGTGTATTCAATAGTTTGAACATACACATTCCAGCCATTTAGAATAGAGTATTTAGACACACCATGGTATAAACAGAACTAGTTTACTTTTTCCATCTTCCAAACATTCCAGTTTTCAGCCCATGCAGTCTGTCCAGAATTTGGTTTTCAATCAAACATTTTTATTTGGGTGGACCAGCACTAAAAAGATGAATCTCAAATGTCTCACACCTCTTTCTTCCACCCATAGAACTGATGGCTTCCAGTAGCTTCTTGTGTTTTCTCTCATCATCACTGCCCTCCTTTAAAAAAAAAAAGCAAGAAAATAAATATTTTAGCTTAATCTGGCACAGGTACAATGGGGTTCAAATGATTAAGACATCAGAGTCCAAGCACCAACAGCTTGTGTGAATAATATTTTTTCAAATAAGAGTTTTACTGTGAAGTCAACAGTTGTATGTCAGATGTAAAATGAAGCAACATCCTCTTGAGGACAACTTTGGTATTACAGACTAATATTATCTATTTATCTATTACTCTCAGAATTTGCTGCTAGTCCACTGATCATCAGAAATTCATGAAATCTGACATATTTCCTCACTGTCCTGTTGTCCAAGTGTACTATCTTTCATGAAGTTTGGACATAACATTCACAAAATATAGGCCTATTGGTTATATTTTTTGGTCGATAAACCAAATGATTGTTTCGCATTGAGTTAGGAAGAACAACCCAGAGGAAGAGTTTGGAAGATTGTTTTTTTTTTTTTTAAGAAAATTACAAATAGTGGAAAGAAATTAATGGATGGAAATGAAAATCAGAAACATGTTTCATAGGGCTTGACTAAAGGATTCAGAAGAATTTAAAGAATCAAAAATTGTTTTAGATTTCACTGAACACCACAAGATATTCCTTGGATTCATGCAGGATAGCATAAAGCAACAACTTTTGCAAAAACGTATGCTAGCTTGGGTGCAAACTGTCATTTAAGCAAAAGGTAGATTCTGAAAATCATGTCTTTAAACTTATGCGGATTTAAAAAAATAAATAAGCAAAAAATAAAGTAAGTGCCCTTTTACTAGAAGTCTCAGATTTTTGGACCCCACTGTATATTGCATTATGGTGTTAATGTTTATTGTTGCAGATCAGGGGTTTTCAAAACATTCCCAAACCTCCAAAACAAAAGTTGTTTGGTGAATATTTCCCATATTGGACACATCCAGCTCAATTCATAAAATAATCTACTAATCAGTTAATTTATTTCAGGGTTTCTGCAGACTTGAACAAGTTAAATTTAAGACTTTTTAAGACCTTTTTAATACCACCTTATATGAAATTTAAGACCTAAACCTGTAATTGAAATACACATTTTATTACATACATGTAATATTTAATGTGTATAAATTAAAAAGAAAACAAAATATCAATGCTGTAATAAATGGCATTTATTACTACGATATACAGTGAACTTTTCATGTCAGCAGACAATATTCCATACAAAATATCCCCACAAAATAACTGAATCACTGAGATTTTTGGTGGAGTAAACAATTTATTCTGAAGCAATATTTTCATCAGTGTTCTATCAGCTTTTACATACTTAAATCTGCATATTTACCTTTACAAAGGCCTATTTTTAACCTTTTTAGATGTATGCATCATCTTACATGTCAAATTATTACAATTTATCAATAAATTCAATATACACTATAGGGCTGCTACCAGTCAGATTAAATAATTTACACTGCAAATAACAATAATTACAACTGCAATAAATAATGTTATGAGATTCTGTAGGTGTTTTGAATGTTTGTTTTTTTTGCGTCGTGAGAATATTGAGTAAAATAGCTCACTTGTCATGGTGTTATTTAACTATATCATGTTATGAATAAACTAAACATTCAGAATTTTTACCTCAGTGTGTTTCTTCTGAGTTTGTGTGCGGTCACGCTCATTTGTTCTGAAGTCTCTCACAAAGAGTCAAACAGAGTGAGCCTCAGCGCGAGCTTGTATTCTGTATTCTGCTAACTTACTGCAATTCTCTCTGATGACGCAGTAACTTACCACGGGATGAAAAAATCTTCGGTCCGTCCAATGATTGTAAAGTCATTAGGTCTGTCAGACTGAAGATATTTTAGCGGTAATGAGACCAAAAATAATTAAGACCCATCGAATATGAATTTAAGACATTTTAAGACTTTTTAAGGCCTTATATTAGGAAAACGTTAAGACATTTTAAGACTTTTTAAGGACACCCTGTATTTGTAATAAATAAAAGAAAACATTCAAAACATCCTCGTTACACATATTACATGTACATAACCAGCTAACACTTAATCAGGTTGATTAGTTAATGTTAATTAATGCAACTGATTAACTGATATTAACTAACAATACATTTGTTACAGTATTTATTAATCTTTGTTAATGTTAATTAATAAAATTACGACTGCTCATTGTTAGTTCATGTTAGCTGCAGGTCCATTCATTAATAATAACAGATAATGTATCAGTAAATGTTGCAATTAATATGAACTGAAACTAATAAATGTTTTACAAGTATTTTTCATTGTTAGGTCATGTTAACTAATAAAGTGCACTAATGTTAACAAATGGAACCTTACTATAAAGTGTTACCCATAATATAGCAATAACAGTATATTATTAATAATTGCATGTAACTAACTCTGAACCAAACCCAAATCCTAACCGCATAAGAAGTACGTTAATTTATATTACTCAGTACTTAAATGCATAATTACACAGTAACAAGGACACCTTAACCTAGCAAAAATAAATGAATACATTTACAAATAATAAAAATAGAAAACAACACGTATCTCAAGTACGCAGGTCATAACATCCTCATCTAACTGAAAGAGAGCTGCCCACCTCATCTTCACTGGCACTGATGGCTTGTTCATTAATGGAAAGGTCATCTTCATCACCACTTTCAACAGCCATAGCTGAGGTTAGCTTTACACCTTTACTGTGGAGGAATACAAAAAAAAAAAAGAGAAATGCTAGAGATGTTGGTCATATTAAGAACGATCGTACACTAACATTTTAGACTAATGCTGGTATTAGCTTCTTAATAATCTAGAATCTCAAAAAGTAATCACATTCACATGGTTCATACTAATATGTAAGAAAAAAAAGACACATTAGAGGACTGAAAACCTTGCTATTGCGTAACAAGAGCAAAGAAGACACTGATCAAACCTTAATGTTTTCTGAAGAGAGCTTGGCTTGACCATGCTGCGCAGTTTAACCACGTGCTCTGTCGAAGTGTGAAAACGGTTGATTTTTCTCTTTTCCCTGCTTTGATTTAGAAAATCGGAGATTTGGAGTATCAATATGTCCGTCAACTTAGAAAGGCCAGCATGTTATCAAAATTGCTAAAAGACAATCGTTGAAATAATTTTTTCTCTGTACGTCTCCAACATCTGATTCTTCTCTGTGTGGCAAACCTACAACAATTGAGTGCATAGCGCCACCTCCTGTGCTGGAGCGTGCAGAAACTTCAGTCTCTTCTTCTTCTTCTTCTTCTTCTTCTTCTTCTTCTTCTTCTTCTTCTTCTTCTTTTGGTTTTATGGCGGGTTGCGAACCAACTTCATAGGTGCATACCGCCACCTACTGTCTCTCTTCTTCTTGAACCAGATGATTGAACTAGCTAAAAGTGCACAACACAACATTGTGAGAGCTTTTCTATAAATAAGCTCAGATCATGTTTGTCCCTTTTCTCAAGGGAATTGGGACATGTGTCTTTCCCCTGTGGTTGGGGACCTGCTGCAGCCGAGACCCAGCTGAGACTTAAAGGGGTCATATGATGCGATTTCAAGTTTTCGTTGCACCAAATACACAAAATAATGATCTTTAAAAAAGCATCATATGACCCCTTTAAATCTTGCAGGTCAACTTGGTGGAGGAATTAATTTGAAGTATGGCACTTTCTCATTCTCCTTTCACTGACTCAAATTGATCTGCTGGATGCTGATGTGCTTTCTTTAGTGTCATCTGATCCAGCAGATAGCATTCTTCTGGTTGTGGAGGCCGAAGAAGTTATGGAGGCCTCACAGCCTGCCTGCCCGCATACAAGGAACTTCTGAAGCTTATGGGTCATGCTTCAGACAGGTTAGGTCTGTCTTGGAAGTGTACGAGACCTCAAATCACTCATTGCTGACTACATGAGTGATTTCTGTCTGGAACACAGTCAGGGCCTCTCCACTGATGCAGTGGCAGAGCTGTGCTGGATTACGGATGTTGTTCTCCGGGCCACTAAGCAAGCACCTGTCATGATTGGTCAATCGATGGTGGCTATGGTGCCAACAGAGAGGCATCTGTGGATCAGCTTGGCTGACACTGGGGAAAAAGAGAGGATCCTCCTCTTCGATGCACCCTCTGCAAACAAGCCTGCGGTGGCCCTTTACCGGCCCACTTAGGGCTAGCCTAAGGGCCCTGCACAGGCAGCCATCACTTAGCCCCCAGGAATCCCTCACTAGGCCTACACAGTGCCCGCACTATTAATCTACAACAGAGGTGCCCTGTTCCTGGAGATCTACGTTCCTGCAGAGTTCAGTTCCAACCCTAATCAAACACACCTGTCTGTAATTATCAAGTGCTCCTTCAGATCCTAATTAGTTGGTTCAGTTGTGTTTGATCAGGGTTGGAGCTGAACTCTGCAGGAAGGTAGATCTCCAGGAACAGGGGTGGGCACCCCTGATCTACAACAATACATCTGTTTACGGCAGGGGTGCCCAAACTCGGTCCTGGAGGGCCAATGTCCAGCAGAGTGTTTTTTTTTTTTAATGCGAATTCCTGAAAGGTTTTAAAGCAGCTCACGTGGTTTTAAGCTCAAAATGATCCTAAACAGAACCTAAAAATCCTTTTCAAAACGTTGACCCAACTGAAAGTTAATAACTCAGATAAGCGGATAACTTGAGCTCCCTGTTGACCAGGGGTGCCCAAACTCGGTCCTGGAGGGCTGATGTCCTGCAGAGTTTAGCTCCAACTTGCCTCAACACACCTGCCAGGAAGTTTCTAGTATGCCTAGAAAGAGCTTGATTAGCTGGTTCAGGTGTGTCTAATTGGGGTTGGAACTAAACCCTCCAGGACCGAGTTTGGGCACCCCTGGTTTAGGGCTGTGCAAAAAATCGAATGCGATTTTCATGTGCAGCACGTGCTGGAGATTTACTTCTAATCACAGGAGCGGCTTTACTGACGAGATGCGCATGAAAATCGCATTTGATTTTTTGCACAGCCCTACATCTTTCACTTTAAATACTTTTCAGCTACTTTAACTTTAGTCTTTGGGAAAAACAGTTATTATACATCTGAAATGTCTGTATTGTCAAAAATGTACAGTAGTCAAAGGGATTTCAAATCAGTTTATTAAATACAAAATAGAAAACATTCAATTCAGGTTAATACAGTGTTATATATAGCTAAAAATGTAAATACACAAGTACAAAAACACAAAAGAAAGCAAACAAAGCAATGTAAGATTGTAGGATTTCGTCATGTGAAAGTTGATGTGTGCGAAAATCTTACCTGTAGTGCATCAATGTCCAAACACTGTCCGTAGCTGAAGTTGACAGAAAGCACATGAATAATCCAACCTCTTGTAATGAAAACACGGCACAGCTCTCAAATACCAGACTCTTCCTAACCAGGAACAGTCAAAAATAGTCCAGACTATGGTCTCACGTCGAAAAGAACTTTAAATCCATATTCAAACTGGACCATGATGTAGTAACTGCACCAATAAAGAGTCCTTCTAAAATGCATACAAATACACTGGCTTAAACTCTTAGCATCAATCAAAACATAAGCCATACATACATGTAACATCTCTGCAAAAAACATCAACTCCTTACATTAGACTGGGCTTGAAATGACACATTTCGCAACCAGGCCACAGCACAATGTGCTTAGCAGGTGAGCCATGCTGGCTACTTGTTATTGCTAACTCCCTCTACCCACATGGCTTTACTTAAGGAAACCTAAAACATCCTAGCCACCCTAGTGGTAAGGAAAGAAACTGCCCACAAAATTCTTATTAACAGGCTCATGTCTGTTACACCTCAAATATGGCTTGTCAAATATGGCCAGAGTTTAGCTACAACTTGATCAAACGCACCCAACAGTGATTTTCTAATGATCCTGAAGACAATGATTAGTATGCTCAGGTGTGTTTGATTAAGGTTAGAACTAAACTCTGCAGGAAAGTGGATCTCGTGAGCCAGATTTGAGGATCCCTGGCCAATATGAAACAACAGGTTCTGAAAAGGTCTCTTTTGGTTTGAGCAATTCCAGTTCAATTGAGTGGCTAAAGAATGGCCAGTCAATGTTGTTTGTATTCTCCTAGTTGCATTACAGGGCTGCCACACTGGGCCATCATTGGATTAATGTGGGCAGTCCCATAGGGTGGGCTGCTCACAGAAAGCCAACGGTGAGCCCAAAGCTGTGGCCCTCGCCTGGGCAAGCCCACACTGGGCCTGTTTAGAAATTTGTTTGTCGGTTGGATGATTCACATTATAATATTGCTGTCAAATCCTAGGCTTACTATGATGCGATACCAGTCACCTATGAGAAAACATTGGTATAACTGTCTTTTTCAAGTGTATTGTATTGTTTTTTCTTCTTATTATTAATTTGTACTGTCTGTTTTATTGTTTTGCTAATGTACCTTGAGTCTGGAAAATAGAGTTGCATGAATGAATGAATTAATAATCCAGAGGAGACAATTTGAAAAAGAACAGCGCATGAATGAATGAATTAATAATCCAGAGGAGACAATTTGAAAAAGAACAGTAGCCTCTGGTCCCTTAGAGGAAATAAAATCTTTTAACTTTCACCAATCCACCTCTCACTCATCATCCCATTTTGGGGAACTGAACTAATGATGTTATAGCAGAGTGCACATTAAAAGCAATCCCTGCCTTCTGATGGTTAGGTGAAGGACTTTGTGTGATTATGTGGTGAGGCGTGATATGAGGTGATGGTTCTTTAAGTAGGAAGTTTACAAACAGCTGCCTCCCCCACTGTTGGGGTTATTAAGCAGACGTTTCCATTTCAATAAAGTACTTAGGACAGTCTGCCTCCCCCTATTATGGGTTCCTTAAGTAGGCAGCCCCTCACATTTTGCGAAGCCATTCCTGCCTCTCCCATAGTTGGGGTCCTTAAGCAGGTGGCTTTTTCATGAGGCATTGCGATGTATTAATTTTGAAGCTGCCTCCCCCTAATGTTGGGTTCCTTAAGTAGGTAGCTCCCTCATGTTTCATGAAGCTGTGGCTGCCTACCCAGTGGTTGGGTCCCTTAGCAGGTGGCACCTTCATGAGTCATTGCAATGTACTAAGATTAAAGCTGCCTCCACCTGATAGCGGGTCTCTTAAATAGGCTCCCTTAGGTTGTGAAGTGTAAATTCCTGCCCCAATGGCTAAATCAGGAAGTTCCTTAATGGGAGTTTAGTGGAGCTTCTTTACACCTGAAGGAAAGCATTTTAAGTAGGAAGCTCCCTAATACCAACAAGGTGGTTGCTCCCCCCTCCCCCAGTGTCAGGTCCCCTAAGCAAGAAGCTCCCATGTGTGTTACCCAGGTGTGGGCTTCCCCCAGATATTGGGTAAGCTTTTTGGAAGCCCCCCTTGAGGCTGTTAGAGCAAGTAGCACCTCACCCATTCAGGTCTTCAAGTAAGGTCCTCGTCTCAGCTTTCAGGCTCTCACAATCTTTGAGTTATGGTGAGCTGCCTCCCCCTCTGCATGGGTCCCTGAAAGTAGTCCCTTATGCTATGAAGTAGTCTTAATCCTTCATCTACTTAGCTGTGTAGCTGTCTCCCATTAGTTGGGTTTCTTAAGTAGGCAGCTCCATTATGATATGCTAAAGTCTCAAGGTCAGAGCCGCCTCCCCCTGATATGGGGTCCCATAAGCAAGCGTATTCCTTATGTTAATGAAGTTGTAGATGCCTCCCCCAGATTTGGGGCCCCATAAACAGGAAGCTCCTTCGTTTGTCTAGGTAGAACTGCCTTCCCTTTTGCAGGTTCCTTTAAAGGGGTCATATGATGTTGCTAAAAAGAACATTATTTTGTGTATTTGGTGTAATGAAATGTGTT